GGATTTTCCGATTAATTCCTGCACTTTGGGTTGATGGGGGCCAGACTTCCGTCCAGAGTCCAGATCAGCCTAGGACCGTGCTCAGGCTGACCTGAGTGGCTCCACAGTCGCCGACAGGGCTTTGCAGACTCAGCTTTACCTGTTTACCAATACAAGGGCCTTGTTCAGTAAGAGTGAATCGCTTTTTCCTGGTTCCTGTGTTCTCACTTCCCTGGGCATGAACACACAGCAGGTGGGACCAGATACCCAGGGACGCCCAGGGCACATTTGGAACAGTGACTGTTTGCTCTGCAGGTAATGCAGTCCACGGGGATGCAAATAACCATGCCTAGACTTCAAAACCTTGATCCCAATTTGAGGAATGGACTGGGAAGCTGTGGTTATCTCCAATGTTTTAGTTGAGGAAAAGCCGCACAGGTTACAGGGCGTCCTCGGGACCACCTAGGAGGTGGAGGGGAGCAGGACAGAGGCTGGGGACGCAGCTGCCCCCTGACTCTGGGAAGGATGGGCTGAGCGGAGCCCCGTGCTGGGCGTGGCTGGTTGGCAGCTCTGCGGGCCCGGGGCCCCTGTGGACGTGGGAGCAAGCCCCGAGGGTGCTGTGACTGCTGCGTCTCACCTTTACCCTGCGCGGGGCTCACAGGGGCGCGGATGTGGAGATGTGCACGGGGAGAGCACCGTTTGTTGTCTTTGGAAAAGCTAAGGTGGAGGAGCTGACCTCTCTGAGCCAAAAAATTCTAAGGCCATGAAAAGAGTGAAACAAGGCCATGTGCAGTGATGTGGACGGAAATGAGCACGTTTCAGGATCATACTGAGTGAAGTCAGACAGAGAAAGACAAACAGCACATGACATCACTCATCCGTGGAATCTAACAGATGAACTCATTTACAAAACAGAGAGAGTCACAGATGTAGAAAACGAACTTGGTTACTCGGTGGGTAGTTGGGGGAGGGATAAATTGGGAGATTGGAACTGACTTATACACACTGCTATATATAAAATAGATAACTGATAAGGACCTAGTGTAGAGCATAGGGAATTCTACTCAATATTCTGTAATAATTTACACAGGAAAAAAGTCTACAGAAGAATAGGTAAGTGTATGTGTATAACCAAATCACTTTGCTGTGTACCTGAAACAAACACAATATAGTAAATCAGGTAGACTCCAAAAATAAAATAAAAATAAAAATTTAAAAATCTGAGGGTGATTGGACATCACAGCTTAGCTGACACCTGCACACCCCTGCATGCTGGACAGGATGCCAGTCGTGTTACACACTTCACTGCACACGGCACCCCTCATAGCTCTGCCAGACTGTCGCAGCTAAGAGACCCATCTTGCTGCTGAAGAAACTGAGGTCTGAGGAAAGCAGGGGGCCAAATCAGTCTATCTCGGGTGGCTGGGCTCCGGAGAAGCTGTGTGGTATGGAGAGCTATCTGCAGGGTGACTGGGAAGACATATCTCCCCAGATCCATGAAGGAATATCTGATGAGTCAGCATCATGGGTCTTTTTCACCTGAGGCTTCGTCCTGGAGGTGTGTGTACATGTGGACTGTCTGGACAGGAATTGGTCTTGTCTGGGCCAGGATTATTTGTCTTTGAAGTTCCCTGAGTACTTTTCTCTCTCTGTGACAGTCTTGGTGACGTCCATCTTATTGGTCAGGGCCCCCCTGTCAGACCTCCGTTCTGATGGGTCAGCCCTGAATACCCGGCCTGGGATCCAAAGTCCTGAGTAGGTCCCCAAGGATGTGGATATGCACTGAGGGACACCTTCCTTTTCTCAACAAAGGCATGGACATGTGCACTTGTGGTTCTGGAGAGCTCATCAAGGTAGTAATATTTTTGGTTTAGTTGTAATGATAACTCAGAATGGAAATCTTCTGTCTCTTGCTGACACTAAGACAGCATTCGTGATTGTTAGTCTTTGCTGAACAGAAGGAGAAATTAAATGATCTTCTCACTAATAAGCATGACTGGTTGGGTAGACAGTCTTCAAAATCATGAAACCTGTGGGTTGCAGAGTTTTGAACCCACCAGCATTCAGATTTCTTAGACAACACAGAGTTTGAATGAAAGTTCTTTTGGAAAGAAATTTACTCAGAACTGAGTGCACAGGTTTCTGCCGGGAAGGATGTGTGGTTGCCCATGGGCTGGTTCCCCCGCTGCCCTCTGCCACCAAGAAGCAGGTTTGGCTGCCGGTTAGTTTCCCTTTTTGAGTCCCTGTTTCCGTAGGAATTTTATGGAAATGCGTGACTACATGTTCTGAAGATGATTAAGTGAAATGGTGGATGTTAGATCCACAGTCAGGGAAACAAGGTGGTCCCTTCCTGTCCTGAGAGGGCCCCAGCGTGGTGTATACAGCTGGTGTATACAGCAGGTGTAAGGCGCACAGACTTGGGCTCACAGCCAGCCTCTGTGTGGGTTCTCAAGCATCACAGGGAGTCAGGGACACTTGAGTTGCTGAGTCTGCCCACCTGTGCACTGGGGCTGTGACCCTGCCCACGGGGGCGGGGGCAGGACCCAGGAGCGAGTCTCTTCGCATGTCTGGAACTACGTCTGGCATCTGGCGTATCCTCAGAGCGTGCGCGCCGGCTGCCCTCCTTGGCTGACGTACCGTCTTTACACCGGTTGTCCTCTACTGTGAATTTAGAGGTCAGAAGACTCTGTCTTTTCTGGTAAGGAAGAGTGTGAATTTATTTTCCTATGAATTTCTGTCAGATCAGCTTTTCCACTTCTCCCTGATTATTCATTTATTAACGTCACAAAAAAGTTGCAAAAACCGTATGTAGCTGGTGTAGGTGTGCGGACGGTGAACTGTCAGAGGAAAGACACGGCGGGGATAAAAACATAAGCACGCATGGCTGACATTACAAAGCCCACGTGGTACCTGAGGCCAGTCCTCAGTGACATGCATGCCCTGGAGGCAGGGGTGCTGGGGGTGGGGGGCAGAGGGACCCAGGACCCCTCAGCCCCACTCAGCTAGGGTTCCTCGGGGGCCTGGTGTGCTGGGCCCTCCTGCCTCCATTTATCATCCTGAGTCCTTTTCCAGAAGGCGACTTCCTCCCAAAGGCTCACAAAGCTTTTCCAGGATGTGGTACCACAGCCCCCATCAGACTAAGGGCTCTTGGCCTGGGGGGTGCTCCCCTCCCAGACAGCCGGCGCCCCGGGAGCCCCAGGATGACCCCTATGCCCTCTGTCCCTTCCCTGTGTGTCTTTGGCTTCCTTGGTCCTGTGGTGCAGGAAAGACCTGCCAGCACGCTGCTCTCCTGCTCATTCTGATTTTTTATATCCTACTTTTTCAGTTCACTTGTAAATGGTGAAGTCAGTTTTTTACATAAAATGGTATTTTCAACTTTAAAAAGTTGTGTGTGGGGTTAGAGGAGACTTTGTAATACAAAATGCCCACTTTTTTTTTAACTATGCAAGATAAAACAGTGACAGAGTTTCTGCATGCCCATTTTTTAAAAAATATCTAAATGGACATTACTATGTACATTTAATAGGAAGCAGTACATAAGCTCTCTCTTTGCAAGTGTTTTCAGGTGTCCTTCACTGTAGCTCAGGAGACAGACCGTGAGGCGCAGGCTGAGCCGAGGTCGGGGAGGCTGGCGCTCTCAGTCCTCCGCCATCGGAGCACAAGGGAGGACCACCCGGCAGGGTCCACGGAAGATGATGCTTTTGCCTCCCGGGCCTGGAGAGCGGTAGTGTTGGACCTGCCTTCTCCCTCAGTCACGTGTGTGTGTGCGCGCGTGTGTATGTGGTTCCCAGCGACTCCAGGGCAGAACAGCTTTTGGGTTCTTCCAGTTATCCCCCTGTGGGGACCTCGGTACCAAGTAAAACTGAGCATCAGCTGCGTCCTGCAGACAGGATGAAGCAGGGACCCTGGACAGAAGGAAGGAGGCTGATGCAGACGGAGAGACAGGAGGGAGAGATGGAGAGAGAGAGAGAGAGAGAGGGAGAGAGGGAGAGAAAGAGAGAGAGAGAGAGAGAGAGAGAGAGAGGGAGAGAGAGAGAGAGAGAGAGAGAGAGAGAGAGAGAGAGAGAGAGAGAGAGAGAGAGAGAGAGAGAGAGAGAGGGAGAGAGAGGGAGACAGGAGGGAGAGATGGAGAGAGGCAGGAGGGAGAGTGGAGAGAGCCAGCTGTAAGCCTCTTCCTTCCTCCCTGCCGCGCCAGCCCCCTCTCCTCCAGGAGGACACCGGGAGGCTTCCAACGCGGTGGCCGCTCTGCTCTAGACCTGCCCACTCTCGCCCAGAGCGCCGGCTCCCCACCGCTCCTCCAACGTTCGGCTTTGCCCTCCGCTCTTCTGTGTTGCCGGGGCCCCAGTGGCCGTGCCTGGTCCCAGGTGCGGAGACGCCGGGCGGTGGGAGGCGGGATCCGGGCACCCAGGGACGCGGGATGCCAGCCGGGCGCTGCCGCGGAGCCAGGCGGCGGCGGCGCGAGTGCTAATGGCTGCTGCTCATTCGCGGCCTCCCTGAGAGACCCAGTGGCAGATTGTAGACTCAATTACTCTCCTGTCAGGTGATTATCCCAGGTCTTAATGTAATCTTCCGCTCACACACACCATATTTCAATTACGGCGGCGATGAAACAAGCTGTGTATTCAAATCGCCAATCACCTTATCACTGCTGAGCAATGTCAACTGTAAAAAACGCCAGCTGAAGGCAATTACACATGTGTTGAGAACCGATTATGATGACTCTCTGTGGTATTTGTGATGAGCTGGGGAATGTTCTGAAAATTTAATTTAATGACAATATGCTTGCTGTACAATCCATAATACCTCCTGAATCCAGCATGGGGCTATTAAAACTGATAGGCGCGTATTATCCCTGTGCTGAGAGGCTGGGCCGGGCGGCGGGCCGATGCCTCTACAGGGAACGCGGGTAATTTCTCCGCACGTTTCTAACGGCCGGGCCAGACAGCTCCGCTCCAGCTGCACTCCGAGGGGTTCCCGCGCTGAGTTAAGGTGTTTTCTCCACCGCTGCAGCTCCTGGGGCCATGCGGGTGCTCTGGTCGCTGCCCCGCAGGGTCCTGAGGTCCCGGCCTGTCCGGCTCGGGGGCAGGATCCCGGGCAGGAGGAGGGCTCCGCACAGCCAGGCTCTGACTGCCCTGGCGCCCGGCCTCCAGAGGCCGCCGCCTTCCTGTCAGGCCCCACATCACACCTGGAACAACCACAAGGAGCAGCTGCAGCGGCCAGGCCCCCCAGCAGTAGGTGGCCAGAGAATGGGCTTCGTGGCCTGTGTTTTAGCGGCAGAGAGCCAAGGCCCGTCAGAGGGGTCCATGTGCTGGGTGGGGGGCCATCCTGTCTGAGAAGCGGCTAGGCTGGGCTTCCTCCCAGATCAGGTGTTCCCTCCACACAGGTCTGGTTCTGGACCCTCAGGACAGTGTGCTGCAAGGCGGGCAGGCAGGAGCGAGGAGGGGGAGGTGGACCCCAGGGCTGAGGCTGCAGCCTCCAGAGGGTCCTTTGAGGCAGCTGGCTCGCAGTGATCAGGGGTGAGAGACCCCAAGACCCTGGGAAGATGCTGAACCCTGCTGCCTGAGGCCACCTCCCTGACCTGTAGGCCTGGCTCCCACTTGGATGTTCTGCGTCCTCTGTAGCCAGGCCTCGTTCTCTCGAGCGTCACACGACTGTCCTACCTGCACGAAGGCAAGACTATCGAGAGGCAAACGGTTGTGCATGAAGATGTTGAAAGCCAGCCTATGAATTGACGAATAAATCTATTATCTGGTTATCACCGTTATGTACTGCTGTACACAAGTGGACATGTATTCAACACTGTGTATTTCTCTAACAGAAAGTACATTTTAAATTCGAGTGTCTTGTTATTTAATTCCTTTAATGAGAGAGACCCTCACTGTGACAGCAGGAGGGCCCTGCCTGCAATTTCTCTAAGTAGTATTATCACCATCTAATATTGTAAATAAGTTCTAATATTTTCTAATTTTCTAATATTGTAGATATTTTTCCTTATTTATTTTATCATCTGCCTCCTTTTACCAGGATGTAAGTTGCATGAAGAGACGTGTTTCTGTTTTTTACTGCTGAACTATAGACATTCAGTGAAAGTTTGGAGGAAGGATTATGCATCTTTAAGTACCTATTATTTACCTAGCACCATCTTTGTATTTTCGGTTATGCAGTGAAAACTTGGTCTGGTATTAAAGTTTTCAATGCTAAATACAACCCCCCCACACCCAATCGACTGTAGCTCTGTACAGACTTGCTTCCATTTGAAAACCTGATGGAGTGAGAGTCACCAGTTCTCCTAGCTCTTCACTGAGTTCATCCCCAGAAGTGTAGCACCGAGGGGCTGGGGGCCCCGCAGACCAGGAACAGGCTCTGATTCCAGGGCTGGGATGTGAGCTGGAGAGGCTGGTCGGCCTTCCTAAGGGGGCGGAGGTGGCAAGGATGCTCTTTCCAGGCGCTGCGAGCGCTCAGGGTTCCTCGGCTCTGAGTCCCGGCGTTTTTCACTCTCCAGCACCAATAGTGCACGATCTGACTGCACGGTTCTGACACTGTCCGCTCTTTTCACCAGCCCTGAGCCCACGCCCTGGCCACTGCCTGTGGTAAGCGAGGTCCAGAGAGGCTCGGCTCTTCCACACGGCACAGGAAGTGAGAGGTTACGGAATTTGCAGAAGGCATTTCTTAAGTTGAGGGACTTATCTCTGATGCTTGTTAAGACGAGTGAGGTCTGCTGCTGGTGGACGATTTCATAACAATGAGAAGGTGAGGGCTGTTCTCTTTTAGAAGTTCTGTAACAGGTACCCCGGACAGATCAGTCAGAGCCAAACGCAAGCAACGTTCTTTATCTGAAGTTTATAAAGTGTCGATGAAACCATTTGTGCAGACATAGCAAGAAGGGAAAGCGTGTGAAACTGCCAGTTCCTTTTTCACCGCCGTTGGCAGCGTCCTCCCCTGGTCAGGGATGGTTCCCGAGAGCGGGCTGCAGGGCTGGGACACCTCAGGACTGCCGTGCAGCACAGGCCCCCCAGGGTGACTGTGACACCCGCCCCTGCCCCCGGGGTCTCTGGTTGCTGTTAAAGCTTCTTGGCTGTTTCTGCTGGGGAGGACATGCTTCTGGCATCCATTGAGTGGGGCTCAGGGTGCCGCACAGTGCCCCCCCAAACGTGCCAGGCTGACGAACCCAGCTTGAGAGATGGGCGAGTCTGGCTGTGAGCAGAGGAAGCGCCCAGGAGGTCCTGGGTCAGCCTGGCTGCTTTCGTGAGGACTGGGACAGAAGTGTTTAGGTTTTCACCATCCCCGTGTTCTAGAATTTAGGATAGGTTTTCACCATCCCTGTGTTCTAGAGTTTTCTTTTGTGATCATATTTGCTCGAGGGTTGAGCCTAGTCTTCCGTGCTCTCACCCGGGCAGGGCAGCCACTTGGGGTCACGTTTGTCACTAATGTGATCTGTGCTGTCATTTCTCCCCTGTGGGTGACCCTCTCCAGGGCCCTGCTACCCAGGGAGCTTTCTCATCATGTTGGGGGGACAAGTGCTGGTTTGTGATGTTTCCCCCCACCGGCCGTTCCCCCCACTCAGGGGAGAGTGGAACCCAAAGCTCCAGAAGGGAGCCTCTGATTCTTTCGAGGAGTGATGTCACCACCACTGAAATGGACCCCCCTGCCAGGAGAGCCATGGGGGGTTGCCCAGCGTCCTGGCTGCCGGGGCTCCTGACCCTGTTCCCCTTGCACCAGCTGCCTACCATGGGGACCTGCAGGCTGAAGGCTGTACCACAAGCCTCCAGAGTTCAAACATCTGGTCCATTTCAACCTGAGAATAACTTGGGATGTCTAAATACTTACATGGAGTATTCTGTACAGAATATGTAAACAGTGTTCTGTTTTAAACCTATGTGTTAAAGAACGTGGCCCTGACTTGCTGATCTGAAGTTAATTGCAGGGCATTTTATAATATTTTGCAGCAATATTCTTGAGAATACTTTAAGATAGAAGAAAAAAAATCTGATGAATTAAAAAAATGGACTTTCTGGACTCTTTCTTTAAAAAGAAAAAAAGCATCATATAAAGATACCAAAAGCAAGCACCTGATTTCTGCATCATTTGGATTTGCTAATTATATTGTTTTCAAAAATTTGTTGTAAGCGTTAGCTATGCTATTAATTAAGCCTGGAGTGCTGTAGTCTATGGGGTTGCAAAGAATCGGACATGACTTAGCAACTGAACAACAACAACACTGTTAATATTTATGCATTTTACAGACATAAAAGAAAAAGCATGGTGTCTTCATATCATATGTGAGGTTAGCTATTAACCTTTTTGAATAAAATATGTAAACTCTGTTAATGACCCGTGTATGGAATACGATAACTGTCCTTATTTGTGTCAGTTGTGGATAAAGAAAACAGACATTTGCACTCAAGTATGATTATATTTTCAAAGACAAGCAGTTGAACCGCTAAATAAACATGGGACCTTTAGACCAGCCTGTACCGCTGGCTGTTTTTCTTCCTGTATAATCCTTCACTCAGAAAAAAATGCTATCTGATTACAAATTATGTACCTATTCTTACTTCTTTTGCCCCAAGCAGCAGTTAATTTTTGCCATAGGTCATAGAGGATGAAACCCCAAAGATCTGGAAGCTTCTTAATTGCATTGCATACAACTCACTGTCGCCGAGCATCTCAGAGGAGTTATTGCGCCTTGTAGATAATGCGCTTTCCCTGCAAGCCATGAAATAGATTCTTCCTCTATTGCTATATTAATTAGACGTCAAGGATGTTAGAAAAATTATAGCTTAAGCTTCTGCTCAAAAAATTTAGGCAATATTATAGACGAAATCGTGCCAGAACTTACAGGGAAATGAATTAACCTTGAGGCAGTTTTGTTTGTTTGTTTCAGGAAGAAAAGAAAAAAAAAAAAAAAGAATCCTGACAACTCCCGCCCTTGGCTCCTCACAGCCGTATAGAGTTTTGATAGAATTCCAGGTTAACTTTGTCAATTCTTGTGTTGTAAAAACGGAATGAATTGGCACGACCTGTGGAAGGCTCCGGAAGCTCTGGAAACCTCTGCTCTGGCCGTAGATCAAGTGTACAGTGAGGAAAGGAGGACACAGTGCAGAAGAAGGGCAAAAGGCGAAATGGTTTGTGTCCATTTAAGAAAAAATCAATAAAAGCATAAAATTGATTTAGTGCTTGTCATAAAACATAAGTAAGTGCCGGAAAATAGAGAAAATTGAGTCTCGGTTTAATCTGCACAAAAGCCACACTGTACTGATGAAGTGGCCGGGGTGGGGGTGGGGTGCTACATAAAACCTAAAGACAGATACTTAATTGTCATATTAAAGACTCTTTGCAGGCTGCAGCCGTGGAAGGGTAGGGCCCATTAATCATGTGGATAAGGGGCATTGAAATCAAATCTCAATTAAAATCTGTTCAATAATGTCTCTAATATGTTTTTCAAGCATTAATTTTTTCCCATCGATTCCACACCCCATAAATCAGATATGTTGCCGTGCATGTAATAGTTTATGGAGGAGAGGATTATGGCTTTATGAAGTTAATGCTGCAGAACCATTTAATTTACACAGGCTAAAGTTTTATGTCTGTTGTTCATTTCTATTATTTTCTTCAGCTAAAAATTATTTGGGCTATAAAACTAAAACCCAAGTTCATTTTTTCCTCCCCAAACGTCTATATATTTAGCAATCAGATTCTTTCGGGTTCCTTTCCCCAAATTTAGCTGGGGAAATGACACATGGAAATACAGAAGCTGAGTTCCCTGCAGACAGAGGAAATAGTGATGTAGGTGGAGAGGGTTTTCCGTGCATATGCCTGCAATGCTTCAGAGTGGTTTCGCAGAAACTTCTGAAAACACAGTCTTCTCCATCTTTGCTTTTCACTGTTCTCAGGAATCTGTGAAGACTTCACTCCTTCTGAACAAAAAGCCATATTGACTTCCATAGCAGTTCTGTTGCCAGGTGGTTTGGTGATCTGAGGTAGAAACAAAGGTGATTTTGTTTTGAAATCAATTATGTTGCTTTCTCCTAGTCACCAGCAAATTCACAAAGGAGATGGAACTCTTCAAAAAGCAAGGTGCCAGCTTCCTAATTTTCTGTAACATGGATACTATACTGAAATCCTCTTCAGAATCGCAAGCAGCTTAAAGAAGCTCTGTAAAAAAGCACGGGATTTCCGAGATGTGGGATGCTATGACAGGAGAGAGGAGCATGGCCAGAGTGGGGACCCTCAGCCCCCACACCTGGCTGTGTAATAAGGAGCCACACTCTTCTCATTTGTAAGCCAAGGGTTTGACCTAATTAGTGGTCTCCCCATGGGCTCCATGCTCTGGGGGCCCCAGAAAACAGCATCTGAGTAATGATTCTGTGAATTCTCACCACCATATCAACTTGAAGGCACTCAAATATTCATTTTGGACCTTTATGTTGTTGCTTGACGAATTTTTATCCCTACGTTTTACACCAGAGTGAATTTGAATTTGAGTTATACTGTCATGGATTAGGATCCAGATGCACCTGAATGGTTTTATTCTAAATCATTCTTCAAATTGTTAGCCGAGATACTGGAGCCTGAGGTGTGGAGGGCTTCATCCGCTTTCACTGAAAGGCCCTGAGCCGGGCTGGAGTCCGCTCAAGGTCCCACCGGGGACGGTCAAGGCTTCTTGGTGGGCTATTTTTATCAAGTCAGTCTGCTCAAAATCCTACTGCTCAGGCCTCTTTACCTAGTACACGAAGCCCTCTGTGTGTCCCATAGCTAACTTAAAAATCTTCATTCTTAAAACAGTTCTGCATTTGACAGAAATCGTGAAAGAAGGACAGAGAGCTGCCTTGTGTCCCCCATGAAGCCTGGCATGTTGTTAGTGTCTGACATTCGGTGATATGTACTGAGGGTCACTAACCGCAGTGGCTAGTGACATGATTCCTACAGAACTGGATAGTGGGCAACATCCTTGATTTCACAGTCCTCTACAAAGGTCCATCTAGTCAAAGCTGTGGTTTTTCCAGTAGTCATGTGTGGATGTGAGAGTTGGACCGTAATGAAGGCTGAGTGCATCTGTCTCACCAATGTTGATACATTATTATAAATGACCATGTTTCATACAAATTTCCACATTTCTATATTTTTCAACCTAATGTCCTTTCTTTTTGCCCAGGATCCTACCCAGGACCCACTTCCATTCAGTCCTATGTCTCCCAAGCCTCCTCAGCTCTGTGAGACTTTCCTTAATTTTGATGTTGACAATTTTGAGTAACAGTGGTCAGGAATTTTGTACAGTGTGTTCCTCCTGATTAGGCTGGGGATGTGGGATCCTGGGCAGAAGACGCAGAGGTGGAGAGTCATTCATACCACACTCTGCCGAGGCGACTTTCGCTGTCAGTGTGAGCGTGACTGTGGAAAGGAGATGTGTGTCCTGTTAAGCCCTGGGAAGGCAGCCACGCTGAGCAGACCTGCCGAGGTCAGGCTCTCGCTACCGAGAACAGTCTGCGTCAGTTCCATGGAGTTCTTCTGCCTGGGAGACGCGTCTCTTCTCCATTGCTTTCTCATTCAGCCACTGGCTTTAACCTGCATGGGGTGTAGGCATTGGTGCTGTGGTGCTGACCCCGCAGTGCCGTGTTTACTTTCCCGGTCGCAGGGCTTACTTTGGCCCCCGGGGCCCCCTCAGTTGCTGCTCCTGCCTTTGGCTCACCCTGTCGTCGGTCTCTGGTTTTGAGCACGTCGGTACTTTGTGACCCTACAAGCCATTCCAGGTCCTCTTGCGTGTGTCCTGCCCGAGTTCTGGGGTGAGCCACATCTCGGACAACGCAGGTTCTTTTGGCTGGACCATCGTATTAGAATCCCAGACCTGGGCACCAGGTTTGTCCTTGCTTCTAGACCCTCTCAGCTGACAGCTGTGAGGCTGCCCTGCAGTGTCCCGGGCTGGGGCGGGGGACAGACGGGAGGCAGGTTCCCGTATTGGAGTGATGGTGTGGTGTTATGTGGAGCTGTGGACATCGGTGCAACCCATGGAAAGCTCACGACACAGGTGGATACATATAGAAATGGTCACGGATGATTACACACGTGGGTCCTTGTTACGTCAGCTGACCCCCGTCCAATCATTGATCACTTCTGCACCAAATAACTCGAGGAGCTGAGGATTTCATGGTGCAAAGTGTGAGGCCAGTGGACATGAAGGAGACATCGCGATGTTTGCTGCTGGATGAGGGACGGGGAGATGGGCCAGGCCAGGACCACATCACCGGACGGCACCCACGCAACCTGGTGCATCCTCAGCTGTCCATGCACTGGGGTCTGCCTCCTCGGGCACGCCACTGTGTCTCAGGCGACCTCCCAGAGCCCAGGGCCCTCACATCTCTCAGAACCCCAGAGCAGATAAGATGTCTTCATGCCCACACTTGAAGTAGCCCCGGTGCACTCACTTCACCAAGAGCCTTGTGCTGAGTCTTCCCCCTCACCTGCCGGCTGATCAGCCAGTGCTGTGTGCCATGTCTTCACCCTCACAAAGTGCTTGGCGTGGCCTGCACCTGCCCTGGGAGCGCGGGACCAAGTCTTCGGAGGGTGGCGTGCAAGGTGAGGTGTGAGTGACTCAGAGATGAGTGTGTTCATAGCGGAGCCCTGGTGCCCAGAGGTCTGGGGGGGGTGGAGGGCCAGGAGGTAGATGAGCTCAGGTGAGGAGGAGGCTGCGAGGGGGCCCCACAGGACACAAGTCTGCTGTGGAGTCTGGGAGTCCGTCTTCCATAAACGAGGATGGTTTTGAGCGGGGGAAGCAGGGCGCCTTCCTCTAGGGTCCTGGATGGGAAGGAGGAGCAGGAAAGGACCTCATTTCAAGGTGATACAGGGGCCAGGGGAGACCACAGAGGTGTGACCGGCTGGGGGTCAGGGTGGCAGATAGAGAGATGGTCAGGGGTGTTTCAGGGTGTCCCCCAGAGCAGAAACCTATAGGAACCAGCAGAGATTTGGGTGAGGGCAGGGGTCAGTGAGGCCTCTTCTGTGTCAAGAGGTGGGCACCCTTCCCCAGCATGGACTAGAGGACTGTGGACTAGAGGAGGCACAGATTTGGAGTTTGGCCAAGTCTGGCGCACTGGTGAGGTGTGCGGGGCGGGGGTGTGCCCAGCGGTCGTGCAGCTCAGGGAGCCTGGAGGCAGTGGCAGAGGGAGCCCGGTGCCTACAACTGGATCCAGGCAGACTGGACTGGATCCAGGCTGGCCCACAGCAAAGACCCTGGATGGGAGCCTCATGCAGGTGGCCCAGGGCTGCCCCCCGTCACTGGGATGCGGGGGGACGTAAACGCAGGGGAGGAAGGGTGTTCAGTGATGACGTAGGCACTGGGGTGTGTGGGGCAGCATGCTCTGGTTCTGACTCCCTGGGCGCGGCTCGGACATCTCATGGGCGCCCATTTGCTCTCAGAACCGGCCCAGCGGAACCAGAAATGCAGCCCACAGCCCACTGCTCACTGCTCCTCCAATAAAGCTCCCCTGCTCCTATGTCCTCGCCATAAAGCTGATCACAGAGGAACCGTTTGGTGTGTGTGTGACTCACAAAGATAGACCCCGGGCCGCTGTGCTAAATTAGTAGTAGTGAAGCTCCCATTCATGGGAGCTTGAAATAAAGCGATACCAACGCCTGTTTCCCGCCCCAGCCTCCTGGGGCCTTGCCTTGGCCCGGAAAACCAGGAGACCTTCGGAGGGGTAGGTACGCACCGCATACATTTGGAACTTTGCCAGAAATATTTGGGGGACCTATTCATCCTTTTCCTCCCTGCAATGATATAATGGTGTCTGTCACAAGGGTGTTCTTATGCCAACAAATCCCAGTGTCACACGCAGGCCGCATAGAAGCTGGAGGTTTTTTTTTTTCTTCTTTCTTTTCTTCTCTGAGTCTTTTCAGACTGGAATACTGAAGTCTGAATTAGATGCAAACGGATTCTTTCAGACCTTCTCTGTGACAATGGGAGCTTGAAAGGAACATATTTGAAAGCTTGAACTGCTCCAGTTTTCTTGCAAAAAGACTTAGGTCCCCTGAGTCGGCCAATTATAAATTATAGTGTAGGTGAACCCTTTCTCTCCCATTCACTGGAGCTGATTCTGTGTCATTAATGTTACTATGCTGATACCTTGCAAGTACAGAAAAGGCTTTTCATATCTCATTAACATTACAGAGAGCCGAAATGAATTATGTGACGGATGAGAGCTACGTCGTAGGTAGAGCTAATTTGGTCCCTACATTTTAATAAGCACAGCGCCAGCCCTCTGCCGTCCCAAAGAGCCAGCTAATCCTCCGCACTGCTTTGCACTGACCTCATTGGCACAGAGACGCCATTGGCCGAGATTCCGGCTCTGGTGCACTTGAATCAGCTGGTGTGAAATTCTAGCAGCCCTTTCTCTGTGCCAGAACGGGGCTCCATGCTCCCACCCCTTCATCCCCCAAGCAGTGAACAGCATTGTGGAAATTGCTGGTAGGCGCAGAAGCTCCAGGCAGAACATCGTCAATCTTCAGGGGAAAACATGAGAATTTATACCCAGCTCTGGGTCAGATCTGTTTCTTTAACTTCTTTCCAAAAATAGGTAATAAGTAATAAATAAGTCAAAACCACAGATTCATCTCAAGGATGATTTATTTCCAAGATTTTAAAAATTCTTTGGCCACCTACCAGTACCCTATCCCTAGCTGGAAATACATAAATTGTCACAACTGAAAAGGGAGTCAGACAAATTTGGAGATTGACCTTGAAAACAATTAAATTTGTCCTCATTTTAGGATGAGAATGCAATTGTCATGTACTTTTTTTTTTCTTGTAAATTCTTACTGAATGAATCACTCTCAGATAAACACCTTTGCTTCCATTAGGCATGGCTAGTTATTAGTTATTTACGGTGAGTGAATCAAAGAAGCTGAAAGATGTTACAAATAAAAAATGTGGACGTTTATGCCTTAAATTCAATTTTAAGCTTATATTACAAAAATCCCCACAAGTGTCCAGCTAATTAAATAAGCTATCAAACAAACAAAAAATTACAAACCAACCAAAAAACCACATAACTCTCCATCAGGCAATAGTCATATTTTTTGAATCCAGGTAATTTAAAAAGGCAATTGTTTGCTTTGTGTAATTAGTTCTAAGACGTCATTGTTCAGAAACCAGCAGGTCAGTATGTGGCTAGGATCTCACTGTAGCTTTCATGTCAGGACCGGCATGTCTTGTCATGGCTGTGCCCATAAACAATGCGTTGTTTCTTTCTGTTGAGGTTTGGTTAATTACTTTCATTAGAGACATGCTCCCTTGTCTTCACATCAGCCTGTCGTGTTAGCAGTGTCCTCTCTGTGGCAGGCTGCTGTCCCACCCCCACCCTGACCATCCCCCAGCACACAGTCCACGTGGCCTGGGCTCCTCCTGCAAGGAGATGCCTGCTCCACGCATGTCCACATGTCGTTGCCAAACACACCACGTGCCAAGGAAACGCTCAGGTGCAGACACCTCCACTGGGATGTAGAACTCATGTCTTTCCAGTAGAACGTCAAAACGTAAACTGTTTTTTAAGGTTTTGATTATCAGACAGATTTGCTATAGAATCTAAATGCTGCCTTACTGGAATCTTCTATCCCACCAAAAAATTTTTTTTCAGTATTAACTTTAGTTTTTTATTTATGCATGGAAGTCATAGAATTTTTTTTTTAAAGCAAAATTGTCCTCTGCATAGAGGAAGAGGATTCATGATGATCTCAAAGTCATTCGGTCCTCAGAACACATTTTGAAGTTGGCAGTTCCACAGGAGGGGTGCATTTTTGAAAGTCTTTTATTCGAAGTTAACACTGTCTCTTAGTAAAGTATTCTAACCTACTAGATAACCTAGAATATCATAAACAAGCAAAGGCCATGTTTGATGAGCATAAATGAATGATCCCTCAGTGATTCCTTACTGTTTGAACAAGTAGGAAGATGAGGCTTGTTGGCAGCAGGACTAGGGGCTGGGGTAGTGGGGGAGAAGCCACTTTCTAGTACAAAAACTCAAAAGAAGAATAAAGACTGAAGTCAAGACAGGGCTGGCTACAAGGTAGCCTTGCTATGTTACCACTAAACCCCTCAAATACTGTATTCTAGGAGTATTGTTAAGCACATAGTTGAGGGATCAGAGAAGGGAAATCCTTAGAGGCCAGAAGTGATGAGAAAGAGGAGATCCATGGGATGAGAGACCTTTGTTCTCTGCCTGTGGAGAGGACACTTGTCCATGTGGAGGACTTTTTCCTGAGAGGGACTGCTCCTTACCCCTGGGGTTTGGGATAAAATGCACACTGACTTTGTGGGGGAAACCTTTTTGATTTTAATTGTCTTAGTTTGATGGGCTTCCCTAGTGGTTCAAGCAATAAAGAATCCACCTGCCATGCAGGAGTAGCAGGATCCCTGCTCAGGAAGATCCCCCCGGAGGAGGAAACGGCAACCCACTCCAGTATGCCTGCCTGGAGATTCCCACGGACAGAGGAACCTGGGCTACAATACATGAGGTCGCAAAGAGTTGGACACGACTGAAGTGACTTAGCATGCATGCATGTGTTAGTTTGGTGGTGAGAAGAAATGGAAATTTTCTTGGGGAGTAAAACTTGGACCTATGCTTCCATAGCTATGCAGAGAAGCAGTTCTGAGAGACAAACCCAGAACCAAAATTATTCCACATTGTAGAACTCAACACAGGTGCACCAGCCAACAGGACCATGAAGACAGACCCACTGAGAATGCAGGTACTGGAATTATTGAGCACTGACTACAATGTGAGTGCACTCAGTATGTTTAACAGAAAATAATTGGATCTTAAAAAAAGAAGCAACAAGAGGCTGACAAATTGGACAAAGTAGTTTCGATTTAAAAAATCAGACAAATTTCATACGATAGAATTTAAATTAGAAACTCACTCAGGAATTACTAAGCAATTAACCAAAGCTGAGGAGAGACATGAGCTGGAAGGTGGAGTCAAATGCAGCACAAAGGGAAAAAGAAATTTAAAAAATAGAGAATATGAAATACAGATTGTAAAGTATGGATTAGTATAGAGTGAGAAGCTTAAATATATTCCTGATGAAAATTCCAGGAGGAGGTAATAGAGAAAAAGAGAGAGAGAAGCAATAATCTCAGAGTCATAGCTAAAATTTCCCTTAATTAAAGACACCAACCCTCAGATCTGAGAGGTCCAGTGAATTCCAAACAAGATATATCAAAATAAATATGCATTTAGTTGCATTGTAATAAAACTGCAGAACTTTGAAAAGCAGCCCCCTGAGAAGAGAAAGTTTTCGTGCTTAGAAATGAGACGTGCTGCCCACAGCTGAAGCGCAGCTCAGACAACAGCAGAGACTTCTGAGAGAGACGACTGTCCTCACCTTCTGTCTGCCCGGGAGAAGGGCAGAATGGTGGTGCTTCCAGAAAGACAAACTGAAACCCTCTACTATTTTTTTTTTAAATAAAATTTGAAAATCTTATTCTTAAATTTACATGAAAATGCAGGGGACCTAGACTAACTAAACAGGCTTAAAAAAAGAAGAACAATTAAGAACTTTGATACTACTTGATTCAAGGCCTACTATAAAGCTGTATTAGTCACTCAGTCATGTCTGACTCTTTGCAAACCCATGGCTGGTAGCACACTGGGTTCCTCTGTCTCCTCCATCCATGGATTTTCCAGGCAAGAATATTCAAGTGGGTTGCCATTTCCTTCTTCGTGGGATCTTCCCGACCCAGGGATTGAAACTTCATCTCCTGTGTTGGCAAGCAGATTCTTTATCAACTGAGCCACCAGGAAAGCTATAAAGCTATTCATATCATAATCAAGATGGTATTGCACAGCATGGAGATGGAAATTTAGATACTTGGAAAAGAGTAATCCAGAATAAACTGACTCATGTAGGGCCAATTAATCTTTGCCAAAGGTACCAAGTCCATTTAATAAGACAAGAATTAGACATAGTTTTCTTAACTAAGAGAAACAATCCACAACTTATGAAAGAAAAATGAAATTGAATTTTATCAAAATTTTAAAAAATTTTAAAAAAAGATAAGAAAATAAAAAAGAAATTTGAAGTCTAGGGGAAAACGCTTTTCAAAACTGGATGTGAAAAAGCACTTGTACGTAGAAAGATACAAGAACAGAGGTGAGCACTGAAAATGGGAGCTCGATTTGCTGTCAGTTCTTTACCAAGATCAAGATTTAGATCAAGACTGCCTAAGAAACCGATTCAGGGGCTGCTGAAAAGTCCAAGGCAGAAACTTCTGGAAAGGAGCAGGTGTCCTGGGAGTGTGTGCTGTGTGTCACGAGCCCTCCAGGAGCATGGCACAGCTCAGGCCATGTTGAAGGACGTGTTGCAGACTCATGGCTTGAGTTCAGATTTCAACCAAGGGTAAAATAAATCCTTAGAGGTTCAATGCTCCGCACTTCATCTTTAGGGATTCCCAGGTGGCGCTAGTGGTAAAGAACTGCCAATGCAGTAAGTGTAAGAGATGTGGGTTTGATCCTTGGGTTGGGAAGATCCCCTGGAGGAGGGCATGGCAACCCACTCCAATATTCTTGCTTGGAGAATCCCATGGACAGAGGAACTTGGTGGGCTACAGTCCATGGGGTCACAGAGTGTAGGACAAGACTGAAGTGACTTATCACACAGTCACGCACACATGCACTTCATCTTTGAGGATATCTGTTCATGGACACCATGAAACTGTCAGGCTGTTCACTACAAAGGCGAATCCTGTTACAACAAGAGCAACCATGGCAGCTTGCTTCTGCCCTGACACCTGCATAAAAGCCACGCATGCATGATTAGATGGTGGACCGTCATGGGAAAGATGCAGATGTCCAGTTCTGGCAGTGATGTCTGAACGGACACTTGAGTCTGGCTTGTAGGCCATCCTCACCTTCCTCATGACAGCTACCACACGGGCTCTTCCAGAAATCTGTGTTTATAAGTCATGTGTGATGATAAAAATAAAGTGTTCTGATTCAGCTGGGGAGCCTATTTGTGGACATAAGATGGAAAGAGTCCCATTAGGACGATTCATTCTTAGATTATTATTTTCTGTAAGCTTTAGTGTTCCAAAAAGATTTTATTTTCATGTGAAGTGCCTGATTCTGCAGTCTTCAGTAAGGCAATAACTTTTCATTAACTTCATTTTTCATTTTTATCTTTCTTTGAGTATTGCAGAACATAGCATATGATTTTGAATGTCATGTAATAACAACTCTCTAAAATTATCTGCCCTTACTTCCATTTGACACTAATATTTGATATGTTAAGTTAAGCAGATCTACAAATGTGGGTCTACATCATTTTGCCTCGGGTGATAATAAGAGCTGTCAGTTTTACATTTTCTCATTGAATTCATGTGGATAATGACTACTGATTTTTTTTATTAAAAAATGTAAATGTGTGTGTGTGTTGAGAGAGGGAGAATGAAAGAGAAAGAATTTCAATTGGCACCAAAAAAAGGAAAAGCAGTATTTCATATTTTTGATTTGTTTTTAAAATGGTTTATATTTTCAAGATGGGAATTAAAAGTGGCTTCTAATTTAAAACAATCTGCCGACTTACTTCCATTTTAAAAAGTAATGTGAATTCACAATAAAAGTTTCGTGCATTTAAAAATGTGTGTATTGTTTAGTCATGTTGAAACAATATTGGTACATGGTTTGGTAGATTATAAAGTAAAGGAAGACTCATAATGAGAAAAAGAGCTCCTGATTCCTCCCATACTATGTTTGCTCTCAAGGGAACCACTGTTAAGGTTCCATCTTTAGTATATAATGTGTGGAGTTACTGGTTGATTTGCCCTTTCTGACACTGGGGTGGTTTATCTGCTATGACCCTCTCCCTGTGGTTACAGCACGTTCTCTGTAACCCTCTGTGATATATGTTTTCATCCATTTCCTGTTTTCTCAGTGACAGACATCTCAGAATCCCTGTTCTTCTCTGTTATCCTTCCCTCCTTCATCTCCCTAACCTCAGTTCAGTTCAGTTCAGTCGCTCAGTCGTGTCCGACTCTTTGCGACCCCATGAACCGCAGCACGCCAGGCCTCCCTGTCCATCACCAACTCCTGGATTTCACCCAAACCCATGTCCATAGAATTGGTGATGCCATCCAACCATCTCATCCTCTGTCGTCCCCTTCTCCTTCTGCCCTCAATCTTTCCCAGCATCAGGGTCTTTTCAAATGAGTCAGCTCTTTACATCAGGTGGCCAAAGTATTGGAGTTTCAGCTTCAGCAACCTCTGTCCTCTGTTATTTTACCTTTTAAGTTGTCAGGATTGAGAGCATTCATTTACTGTTTCCCTCTAATTGCGTTTGAATTTTCTAAGCTTGATAGATAGATGGATTCTAATGATTGAAATCGGTGGGCAGTTTTGAAGCCTGTGATGTGAAAGTGCTGCTCTGGCGGGATCAGGCAGCAGCCAATGGGGGCACCCACAGAAGAAGGCAAGAGGCGAAGGGGTGGCAGAGGATGAGATGTTTGGACGGCATCATCGACTCAACAGACATGAGTCTGAGCAAGCTCCAGGAGATAGTGAAGGACTAGTGTGCTGCCATCCATGGGGTCGCCAAGAGTCACACGTGACTTATCAACTGAACAACAGTGACAGCGCCCATCCCAGTTCCTTGGGTTTCCTGAGTTGCAGCCTCTCCAGATATGTGTCTGCTCCAGTTATACCATGCCAGACCACCCTGGGGGTGGCCCCCACCTAGAGCAATGAAAGTGGATCTCTATTTAATTGCACTTCTTTTTTATTCACTTTTTACTCTCATTTGAGCCCATTTCCCCTCTCCCTATATCTTTCTAAAGTTCCTAACATCATCGGCATCATCTCCTCCATCAAGTCCAACTCTTTTGCTCCAGGTTCTCCTCGAAGGCTCTGCCCCTCTGCCCTGACCTGGCTCTTTCTCTGGGACTGTGCTGAAGCTGCCCTGCTGCGCTGGATCCATCCTTAGCAGTGAACCAAGTTTTCTTCTCTGTTTCTCCATTGCCTCGTTTTCCTAAGCAGGAATATGTGCACTGCTCAATGTCATCCCAAGAAGCTGCCTTACACTTGATGGATAGTTCATTTGGGTATCAACTCTGGGTTGAAAGCACATATCTCCTAGAATTTTGAAAGCAGTTACCTAAGATTTTGTTTATGAAGAGAAGTTCAGCAATGAACTTCCTCCTCATTCCTGTGGAGGGAACAGTTTCTCTTTCTCTTGGGTGGGCTTTTGGACTCTATTCTTGTTCTAAAATTTCAAAATAATATAATCTCTTGTTTCTTTGAAAACCTGCATGTAGGGCCTACATGTCACAGTCCCTGTCCAAAGAGCAGTACACATACATCAGCTAGAGGAGTTATTCCTGCTGTTCTTCAATTATTTTCTTTCCTCTTCAATCTTTTGAACAGGCAATCCTTTTCTACTTGTTCATTAGGAGCACAGAGCAAGGAGAAAAGCTGGCACTTCTTTTCTACAGGCAGCGGTTTTCCCTCCCTCTGTGCCTCTGACTTGACAGGGCCTCCTTCCCCACCTCAGACCTCATCTGGCCCCACCCCCGACTCAGTCCTGCTCCCCATTCTGGTCCCTGCAGGAAACTTGGGGTCAAAGCAAGCCAAGCTTGCCTCCACAACACTATTGACTTTAGAGTAGCCATAGATGGGAAGTCTGTGTGGAGTCCATGGGTTCAGATTCACGTGGGGCCCAGGGTGGAGCAGGGTGACGAGCCTGTGAACATGAACATGAGAGCAAGGACGTGTGTGCGCGTGTGTATGTGTGTATGCATATGTGTGTATGTGCATGTATATTTGTTAGTGTATATGTGTGTGTTTATGTGCATTATGTATGTATGTGTGTAGTATATGCATGTGTGCATGCTAAGTCCCTTCAGTCATGTCTGACTCTGTGAGACCCTATGGACTGTAGCCCACCAGGCTCCTCTGTCCACGGGATTCTCCAAGCAAGAATACTGGAGTGGGTTGCTGTGCCCTTCTCCAGGGTCTCTTCCTGAGCTAGAGACTGAACCTGCCTCTTTTACATCTCTTGCATTGGCAGGCAGGTTCTTTACCACTGAGTCACCTGGGAAACCCATGTATAAATGGACTGTATATATTTGTGTGTGTGTGTGTGTCTGTGTATCTGTATACATGTGTCTGTTTATAAATAAATATACACATGTACCTCTGACTTCCCTGGGAGCTCAGTGGTAAAGAACCCGCCTGCCAATGCAGGAGACGCGAGTTTGACCCCTGAGCTGGGAACATACCCTGGAGGAAGAAATGGCAACCCACTCCAATATCCTTGCCTGGGAAATCCCATGGACAGAAAAGCCTGGTGGGCTATAGTCCACAGGGTCACAAAGAGTCGGGCACGACCGAATGACTGAACACGCAGACACATGCACCTCTATCTCAGCTGTGGTTTCCTTTTCTGTATATATTTTGAGGTTTTGGCTTTAGTGTGGAGAAATACACTAGGCATGATAAACTCCTTTCACAAAGAGAGAGAAATAAATACTTCCCACAAAGCGAATCATGCATTATACTTTCCCAGGAAGCTCCATTATTTTAAAAGCAGGTTTTTTTTCCATTTTTGTTCTGAGGGCCAGGCCAGCCGGGCTCCCGCTCCGGCTCAGCCATGTGGCGGCTGTCCCCGCCGTCACTCACGTCCAGCAGAAGCACGGACGAGTGGGGACGTGTCGCCTCACCATCAGGCCTCGTGGCCCTGACGCTCTGCAAAGGGGAGATGGACAGTCAGCCGGCTCCCATGGAAAATATTCTCCCAGCGAGCTCCCTAGATACCAGATTGTTTCTGTTTCCTTTTTTTTTTTTTCTGTTTTAAAGGGGAACAATGCAATGGCCCATATTTCTTGAGAGCCACCATTTGGTGGCAGGTTTCACCAAGAGAGGTCTGAGAGGGAGATGGAAGGGCCCTCATCCAGTGTTTAGACCAGCAGGGCTCTCGCTGGTAGAAGTCCCTGCAGTCCTGAGTTGTCCCGCCAGCTACACAGCCCTGTGAAGTCACGTCATTTGCGGACAAGCCTGCAGATGGGCCGTGGGTCACTCATGTCCACTCTCAGGCCGCACTGCAGCTATCGCGTGAGTGGAGAAAACCAACTGGACAGGTAGCAGCGATGGGTGGGGGAAACTATTTATCCTGAGGTGGTGGTGGGTTTAGCTGCTCTGTTGTGTCTGACCCTGTGCCCACCAGGCTGCTCTGTCCATGGGATGCTCCAGGCAAGAACACTGGAATGGGTTCCCATTTCCTACTCCAGGGGATCTTCCCGACCCAGGGGTCAAACCCAGGTCTCCTGCATTGTGGGTGGATTTTTTACCAGCTGAGCCACCAGGGAAGCTCATTAATCCTGTAGAACAATACAAATCTGACATGAAGTTGGCCACTTATACTTACGGTTTTCTCAGTCTTCCCAGAAAATGACCAGCCCCCATTCAGGTTTCTTCTGGATGAAGAGCGGCAGCATCTCCCTGAAGCTTCTGTTTCATCTGCTCCCAGATGTCCTCACCACCCAGCACTAAGCCAGCAGGGAAGGGTGCTCACGAAAGGTCACCTAATGAATGGATTGATTTTGGTTCATGGGAAGGTCAAGATGAGGCCCTTCTCATGAGTTTGAAAGTCCCTGGTATCCCTGACAGCATCAGGAGGCAGGTTTGGGAAGTGCCTGTCCATGTGGCAGCAGACACTAAGCAGGAAGTCCTGAGCTCTCGCTTCCTGTCCTGATGGAAACACGTGATTTACCCTGAGGCCCCTCAGTCTGGACAGCAGCCGGTTACTGATACGTAGGTGACAGCTGGGTCCTGTCTCTGTGGCTGCTGGCATTCACGTGCCAGGCCTGGGTCTGAAGTCAGGATGGTCATCACAGATTTGGGAGTCCCAGAGCTGGCTTCCTGGCAGGGGCTGGCTTACCTCTTGGGTCCATGTTCCTCTGAGAGCTTTGGGGCTCATGCTTTTAGTGAGGCTGAGGCTGTGACGATGTTTATTACAGGTTTATTATATGTATATTATAGCATAGGTTCTGGGAGGCTTCCAACTGCGTGAAGGGAGGACAGACGGCCGGTTGTCCCTGTGCCATACATTGTACCCTGAGTTCTGAATGTCCCTCTCTCCATCTTCCCCGAGAGGACCCCGAGGTCGGGGATGGAGGCTAGGATGAGCTGGCCACCTGCTCCAGGGCCAGGCGGTGGGATGGATTCTGTCAGAGCTGGGCTTCCAAGGAGCCCTGCACTGGGGGCTCAGCATACTGGGGCTGCACAAGAAATGCTACTCCCATCTTTATTTCTACCATAACTGTATCCTGTGGAATTTTGACTCCTCCTTTTAGGAACCACATTTTATTTTTAGAATCTTTCCCTCAAACACCATATGCTAAATAATAGTCTGTTTTTATTAAGAAGAGCAAAGGTGGCTCAGTAGTAAAGAATCTGGCTACAATGCAAGAGATAACAGGAGACCCAGGTTCAATCCCTGGGTTGGGAAGATCCCCTGGAGGAGGAATAGCAACCCACTCCAGTATTCTTGCCTGGAGAATCCCATGGACAGAGGAGCCTGGTGAGTTACTCTCCAGGAGGTCATAAAGAGTTGGACATGCCTGAGCACGTGAGCCATAAATATACCATATAACAGAAGTGTGTGCATTTCTCTGTGTGTATTATCACCTCCTGATCAACCTGAAAGCCTGGTTTGAGACCCCATGCCATCTGTCCTCTTTGTCCAGGTCTCCCCAGCTCCTTCCTACCTGAGATGCTTTGCGTTGGTTGCTCTGTGACCTCTGGTCTACACAGTGGCAGTAGGCTTCATTTCTGAACACACTCCAGATGAGGGGCCTCGCCCATGGGACCATCCTGCAGCCCCACTGCCCCCCGCTCCGCAGGGAGCAGAGCAGAATCAGCACTTCTGAAGGCCCCACGCCCTGCGACTCACCTCCCTCTGCAGCCTCCCCACCTCCTCCAGGACAGCCCTTGTGTTCCTGATTCTGTCCTGGGGAGCCATGACTGACTCAGTGAGTGTTGGTCTTGCATGTGATCTGCTCTGTGTGTTGGAGTCTCACGGGATTCTGCCACCCCAGGAAGGGTCTTCTCACTTCACCCGCACCTACTTGGAGCACACACGCTCGGCCACTGCCGTCTTGTAGCGTCAAGGTCCCAGCTGTCACACTTTCTCATTGTGAGGTGACACAGCTTGCCAGGCCTGCTTCCCATGGGGTCTGCCTCTTGCAAGGGGTGGGAAACAAAGAATGAAAGAGTCATGGCTCAGTTTCAGAAACCAGAATCAGGGCCTGGCTGGCGACGATCACTTGTGGGCCCAGTCATGCCACATGGGGAATGACTGCCCCACCCCAGTGGGCATCAAAGGCAGCTGTCCCCTTGTACCCCGAGCTGCCACAGCTCAGCTCTCCTTTCACAGTGGACAGGCGTTAATTTCTCGTGTGTGTCTGCATCGGTGAGTGGGTGTGTCCACCACGTGAGTGAAGAGTGAATGGCACATGACAGTAGGCAGTGGATACATCACAGCTATCTTCGAGAATGCAAGTTCTTCCTACTCCCCCTGGATGATCACCCTGGCCCAGAGTGATTCTCATCCAGCAATTTCGTGTCAGGGAACTGAACCCACAGAGGTCCCCGCCCCGGGAACCAGCCATCCTTGTTCTATGAGACGAGAAGCAAATGCATATTACAAATCGCCAGCCCCTCCCTTCCACCCCGGGCACCTTCGTGGGGGCTGGGTTTGTGGACAGCCTTTCCTTTTCTTATAAATAGGGAGTTTCTGACCCAGCAGCCTGCCCACACTCTTGTGCTACTAAATTTGAGTGACAGTCATGAAACGCTCCCATAATCAGTGACACTGGATGATTTTCTGCTGCTGACAAGTCTGTGTATTGAGTATGATAACGGTAACTCTGTCTTCATCCTCTGCTAGAGAATAATATCAATCCATTTGATGCTCCGGCCTAGGCAGCCCGCCCTTCTGTATCAATCTTCATAGGGTGCTGCCTGTTGTCTAAGAGAAAACCTGAAAAGAGGTCATTCCATCACTCTTCGCAGCTGCGATGCTCCTGCAGAAACCAAGCTCCAGTCACTGTCCTGCCGCGGTGCAGAGAAGCCAGCATGCTAATCACAGCAGAAGCACCTAAACGCCTTCAGAATGGAGCCACCAACAGACCACACACAGGAATAAAGATGAGGCTGGGCCTAGCCGCAGCATCCGCTAGCTAAAAGTGAAAACCCTCTTGGTGGAGGTGGAGGAGGGGAGAAGGGACCCTGTTCAGTGATGAGCGTTCTCCAAGTGTCTTCTGCTGGGGCTACTATGATGTTTCCTGGATGGACGTTCACCATGCAAGGGAGTTTCTCAAAATGTTCAAATAGGGCACCCATTTCTGTGATGGATGAGCCATTGCCCCATGCTCATCTTCTTGAGTTTCCCCTGAATTAAAACCAAAATAAATATGCTTTTAAACCAAAATAGGAAGGAATGCATTGTATCTGAAATTAGCAGTGGTCGTATCAGAGGGGCAGTGCACCTGTATGCACTGTGTCACCTTGTATTTAAATCATCACAACAGTGGGAAGGGAAAGAAGCCAGCATCTGTACCGCACTCCTTCATTCCTGCTCTGTCTTGAGAAATTTTACCTCCCATGAGGGTGAGACTCTCTGTACAATCAAAAAGAACTAAGACCAAAATAATACCCACACCTTCTAGAAACTTCTCCGACAAGACTGGGCTTGGCTGGGGTACTGCTGAGAGATGCAGAAATAAATTTTGGGACCACAGCTGTAAATCCGCTGAGAGTGTCTGAGGGATGTCTCCCTGGCAGTTTCAAAATGGAAATCTCAGCTTTTAGAATTCACTGAAGCACTTCAATTTCCTATGAATGCAAAAGGACCATTTCTAAGAACTAAGAGAGTGCCAGGTGATGGCTAGTTTACCAGTGGGATCTCCACTGACCTCCAGCGCCCTTGAGTCCAGCTCCTCACCACGCAGGCTGCAAATGCGCTGTCATCCCCACACCTACATCACAGCTCTTTCAGAGGAAGGGCATATTATTACAGTCATTCTCCCAAATTACTCTGGGAATCGCTTACGGTGACGTGGGGAATGAAGAGACTTTGTCATTTTCGAGGGATGTGCCATCCCTGCTGGCCAGTTGCCAAGAAACATGTTAATTATTTCCCTTAATACCAAACCTTTAGGCTTTAAATACAGTCTCTCAGAAACCCAGGAAACAGATGTTCGGCAGTATAATACACGTGAAGAACCCAGTCTGATATTATTTAGGTGTGCCGATGGGAATTCCGGGTGTCAGCAGTGCGTAATGGGGTTTCTTGGCACATCTGTGGCTTAGGGTCTGACCCCTGCTTGGCTTCTCATGTGTCTGTTTGTCTCTTACTTCTAAGCAGCACCAGAAAAGCAACTTCTGAATTATTTCTTCCTCATTTAATTTGGGTGCAGTTTTTACCCACACACACACACACACACAAATACACTCACACAAGTTTTTGTTGCAATATTAGAAAGACACAAAGCAATATTAAAAGACATAAAATTTATACCATATGGGTGTACGTGAGAGAAGATGCAGGGATTATTTTCCTGTTTTCAAGAAATAGTTGCCTTTTTGATGACATTAGAACCAAGTTGTGTGTCAGTTCATTAGCTTTTTTAAAAGGTAAGAGACCACAGGTAGCAAATGCATCAACACTGCATTCATAAAGCTCTCCTGGTTTCTATAAAACGTGTGTGAACACAATTAGCCTCGCTTCTAATCCAGGCTATTCCTTTAGGTCCTGAAGGAGTAAGAGTCCCTCTGCTCATGAAAATCTAAGGACCAGTTTTGCAACGTCACCAATTTTTTCAACCATCCGAATACCATCAATTCAATTAAGCTCATAAACTCCCTGCCCCCCGTCCTTCGGACATACAGCTCCATCCAGGAGAGAGGGGACGAGCTGAGCTGTCCCCGTGAGATATGGCTCAATCAAGAGCCAAAGTTTTACGTGTCAGTTTTGATATATCCGATAATAGCTGCAGGTTGTTTTGCAATGTCCAATGTTCTGTGAAGATGGGCTTTTCATATTCTTTATTGTTTTTTACTGACAAAACGTTGCTTGGACTTTTGCAGTTTTGTGAAATGAAACAACAGAAAAAAATAGTATATAATCTCACTCTCACACACCTAAGTGGGCTCTCCCTTCCTGTGGCTAGTTTTGGTCAGGATACAATGAGCTCCTGTTCATTGATCCATCATAAGCGGGCCTGGCGATTGAGCACGCCCCGCAACCAGACGCCACAACTCGCTCGGTCGCACACTGATGTGCACACAGCACCCCGAGCCCCTGGGCACCGTGACCCTCCTTCACTGGCCCTCGGAGCCCTGGAAGAGAGAGAAAAAGAGCCAGCCTACCAGAAGGTGTAAAGTCTGCCCTGGCGTTTACTCATCTACTGGATTGTGTGCTTATACTGCGGGCAACCTGCTTCTTCCGAACAAAGCCTAATTCCTTCCTTTCCCTCACTACTGCTGCCCAGCCTCAGCCTCTGGCTGGGAACCCAAGCTCGGCTTCAAGCCCTTGCAGGCCAAGGCCACCTGGGATCCCATCTCTCAGTCTGTCTCTCTGCTCCTCAGTACAGCTGGGGGACTAGAATGGGAATCACTGGTTTCAAAGTCTTTAGATCTCTAGATTGTCTTTTCTCAGTCTTTACTGATAACTAGATTATTTTTAATCTAATAGGTGAGAAATGCTTTCTTATATTTTTAGCTGTCATTTCTTTCACTATTTGTGAGAATGAACATTTTTTTCAGATATTTTATTGCTATTAATTCTTCTGTTCATCTAATTATCTGTTTATATGTTTAGTATTTTAGTTGTAAGTGTTTTTATTTATGAACTTTTTGCCATGTTTGTAATAAGTATATTCTGTAGTCTCTGCATTGTTTGGCCTATAAATGTTCCATAACTTTTTTAGTAGGCTAGTTACTACAAATCATAAAAAGTAGAGGGTATTCAATTCTGTTTGAAAAAGTGATGACGGCTGTACATGTGTTTTCTATGAAATTTTGGAACCTTTGGTCAAGAAGGTTGATTTATTGTAATAAATTATTACTTTGCTAGAAATGTGCTTTCAATTTATCTAAATTATTCTGAAGCAATACAGAGAGATTGTGAGGAGTTTTAAGGAGTATATTAAACTTAAAAAAAAACAGCCTAAGGAAAGATTTGTCACCAAGTGGTAACATAGGACGCGCCCACTGCAGCTCTATTTGAAATACTTTTAAGTGCCCAAGGGTTAAAATGGATGAGTGGTGCAGCTGTCAATATAAAGTCTATACATTTGTACCATTATTGCTCAACTGTGCAAAAATACACATTGTATTAGTGAAGATAGGAAGGAAACACGAAAACAGAAAAATGTGTGATGTTCTAGGACATGGGCATATTTTTTCCAATTCCCTTTATTTTTCTAATGCCATTACTAGTGCTCTAAAATTTTTCCTCATAAAATTTAAATGAAAATAACTCAAAAAACAAAGAAAAGACTCAAAACTGAAATTAAAATTATTTTGGAAGGGGTCATTTAGGTTAACTGTGGTCTCTTGAGTGCATGCAGAAGCGTATACGTGAGGGAGCTGTAAGGAACAGAGCGGCTGGTTGGTATGCAGCTCGCCACTTGGTTCCCTGCAGAACACTGCTCTGCCCAAACTGGGTGTGCTCCCAGAGTCATTTTACTGCTGTTGTCTCAACTCCGTCTAGTTGATACCACTCCCATAATGAAGTAGGCTTCCCTGGTGGCTCAGATGGTAAAGAATCTGCCTACAAGGCAGAAGACCCAGGTTCGATCCTGGGATT